CATTAAAATCCAAAATCATTTCCCAAAATATTCATAAGGAATTTATAAATTGTGCAAAATATTTGTAATACATTTTTTAAAAATCTCCCTCTCGCCACTAGGGGGTGCTGCAGCACCCCCAGCAACCCCACTTCCTGCGGCCATGATCTGTTCTGTTGTTTGGACCAGTTGAGTGATCTGTGGAGTGTTTGTTTGTATTTATTTTTAATACAACTTTTCCCTTTTCTCACTGTGTTAGCAGAATAGCCTAAATGTGAGAAGCCATAATCGTTTGTCTATCGAATGTTATTGATCACTATTATTAATAGAAATCATAATAACAATGATAAAATTATTATTATTAGTCGTAGTTGTATGAGTAGTAATATCGATTAGGCAGGTCAGTGTGTTCGTGACCTGCTGCACAGTCCTGACCAACTCCTCGCGACCAGCTGCTACCTGGCACGGACTAGTGGTCACTACCACTAGGGGCGCTAAAGACACAGGTCCTGATGCTGAACAGCTCCTCACTGGTCTGTCTTGTGGTCCTTGTCATCTGCCTGTTGTCTTGACCAGTTACTGAGTGGTCTTTGGAGTAGTTATTGTACATTTAATACACCTTCTCCCTTTTCTCATTGTGTTGGCAACACTGTGCTGAATAAATGTAAAAATAAATAAATAAATAAAAATCATTATCTTTTGTCTGTCAAATATTATTGATCATTACTATTAATAGAAATCATAATAACAATGATTAAATTATTATTAGTCGTAGTAGAGTAGTACTATCGATTATGCAGGTCCGTGTCTTCCATCGTGAATTGATCAGGACCACTTAGCCTAACTCTTTTTTGAAGAGAATTGAAGATTCATTTTCAGTTGGTTTCTCGATCATCTCATGACTGCATGACTACTGCCTTTAAACCAATTAAATGAAGGAAACGGTTGGTAATTAAATTCCTGGCCAATCAGGACCAATTTCCAATTTTGATGTCAGGTGTGATCATATTGATCATATGCTATATGCTCATTCTAAAACCACGAAGAGCAGCTAATATGGTCTAGGATATATCTTTGCTTGGAGTCCTTGGATTCCCAGGCCCATTCCAACGATCTGTGTAAGTAATCTTTGACTTTTATTATGTTTTCAGTGTTCTTACGTGATCAGACTCCTATAGATTTTAGCCATCTTGTGTCTTTGACTACAGCCTAACTAAAATGTCATTGAATATAAGCCCCAAATGTATAATAATAATAATAATAATAATAATAGAAGAAGAAGAAAGAAATATAGTAGTAATAGAAATAGTAATGAATATCTTATAAAGACACAAGAGGCCCTATCAGGACCTATCAGCCAATCAGAAAATAGCATTTCTTTATGTATAATATATATATGTGTGTGTGTGTGTGTGTGTGTGTGTGAGTGTGTGTGTATATATATATATATATATATATATATATATAGAGAGAGAGAGAGAGAGAGAGAGAAATAATGGTTTCTTTAAAGCGTTTTCAGTGCCCAGAAAAGCACTATATAATTCCAACCCATTATTTTATGTTTATATTAAGGGCACAAAATCAAGATTGTAATATGCGTATGTAATGTGCAAATGATTGTTGCACAGTTAACGAAATTTGATTTTTTCCCCCTCAATGGACAGGGCTGATTCTCCAGAGTAAGACACTCCCCACAGGAATGTATTAACATAAGAAAAAACCTATATTTGAATTTACACAGTTGCCTCAAAGGCCCAGCGACTTTGTTTTGTATAAGTCTTAGAGAACACTGCCCACTGAAGCTTATTTTATGGTAATCAATGCTATAATGACAAAAATGCAGTAGTCATATCATAGCACCTAACCAAGTATTACAAGCAAGTGCCTGCACAGTGGATTTTATTTATATTGTTTTACTGTACTGCAGTATGTCATGACATAACATGCTTAGTATTTGAGAAAAAAATAATGCCACATACAGCCTGTAATATGTTTCTTCTCCTTTTCTCCAGATTTGCTATCTGTGAAAGAGAAGCCAGCGGAATCTGACAAACAGAACTGTAAATCCTTTCAGTGTCCTGCATGTGATGCATGTTTTTCTAGTGCACCTACCTTAAGAAGACACGAGTTGGACAAACACAGCACAGAAAAGGAACCCATCTTCCTTGTGCATGAAGAGGGAGGGATTTTTGTTACAGCACAGGACAAGTCTGGACCACAGACCATAATTCATGTGTCCAAGTCCTTTTCTAGGCAGGTCCTTGACTGCGAAGTGCCAAGCTGCAAGGAGTTTATGGCCATGGCCACTGGCAGAGAATGCCTACATTTGGACAGAGTAAAGCATTTCAAGTACCACCAGCCACCTCCTCTGCTGCAGACTACCGTAATTGAGGAGATGTTTGAAAAGGGGCTGATTTCCAGCACTACTAAACAGGAATGCACAAACCTAAATGAGAGAGCCACACAGGATGGGACTCCATGTTTTATATCCTGTGTTTTTTGATGAACACGGATATTCAGGCAGTAAAGTACACATCAAAAGTGGACAGTTGGTGTCTTTTTGGCAGAACAAGAGTGACACTGGAAGTGGAAAGTGGACATGTCGCTGCAAAGGCACAAAGAGAAGAATGTGTGTCCACATTTATGTCTCGTTGTGTTGGACCTTCCAGGAAAGACGACACCTCCTACGTGACAGTGACAGGGACAGGGACGTGGACTTCAGTAGTGACACTGACAACAATCTCTACAGTGAAGATATGGAGCCAGGCCATTTTGAAAGTGAAAATCAAATTAGTTCAAAACAGATTTAAAAAATTGTAGAATACTTGTGTAACTGCAAAAGAATGCCTCCCAAACTACCAGAGGAGTTGCAAATAACACAGCAAACATCCCACAGAAGTTCTCACCTGAGGAAACCAAGTGCCCGTACTGTCCAGGTTCTTAATGTGTCACCAAAAACGCAACTTACTGGTTTTATATTTTTTTGATGTGACAAATAGTATACCTTTGGTCTCTGCAGGCACCCCAGTCGGTAGAAGTAGGGTCTATATATACAAACAAATCCACCATCCTGTAACAATTTATGTTTTCCTTTTACGTGTCCATGTCTACATCAAAATGTGCCCTGTCTGCATAACACCTGTCAGATTTCAGAATTACTTGACAGGCTTCCACAATTACAATAACAAAGTGTTTCTGACCCTTCAGTTATGCTCTTTGATGACAAATTTACTGATGGTAACGTGGTCCTTTTTTCATTCAATTAGAAACATAAAATAACACTGATTTGTACAGTAAGTATGGAACAACTAATTGCTTGATCTTTTAACAGACCCGCACAGCTATTGGAAGATTCATAAGTGCTATGGAGCATCAACTGAATTTGACAATCCACCACAACACCATCCGGGGGGCATTTTTTTAAAAATACATGATTTATGTAAAATTCAAGTATCAATCTGTTTGATACTCTAAATATCAACAGAGCTGTTTTTATACATATGTTTTGTTGGGTGAAGGGTTAAACACTATAGTGACCTCTTTCTTTAAAAGTAATTAGGCTAAAAATCAGTTTAGACAATTCAGCTCATTTCAAAAGTATTCCTGGAAAATTGTATGACCTGACTTTTACATTTATTTTTAACTACTCTTCTTCTATAACTAGTGAGCACACTGAAGAGGCCAGCTACCAAAGATGTCAAGGATGAAGACCTTTCAGTCAACATCACCTCAAAGTGGGACTGATTGGAAAAAGAAATTATAGCCAGTGGCATCTGCGAAGGTTTGTTATTGTACTACATTTCAAAATTGTGACCTAGCAATAAAGAACAAGGAATGTGACATTGAAAAAAATGGAAGTAATGACATTATTAAATTGTGAAACATATCTTTCCTTCTATTTAAGAGTTGAAAACCCACAACGCGTATTCAGCGGAGTTGACACACTCCTCTTTTGTGCCGTGGATGGGACCAGCTCCTACAGTTCGGGATGTGCTATCTAAGACTGAGATCTTGAAAGGTTTCAATAGTACGCCAACAACAGACCCCAAAACGCAGAAAGATCCACGCCTCAATGAGGATGAGCTTCTTCGGTTGATTGAATCAAAGAAGGTGATTTATATTTTTAAATCAGTGTTAATTTTTTCTGCCTATTTTCTCAGTTACATATTGCTTTGTGCTGCTGCAGGTAGTGTTCATATTCACCTCTGAAATTCTATTGTGCTTCTCTTTCTGTATTATGCCACCTACAGGCAAGCAAGAGTGAGCTAACTAAAGCTTGCTTTGATCTGGGTGTTCCCACTGAGGGATCTGAGATTGATTCGATCAACCGACTTGAGGAAATGCTCCTCTACAAGGATGTTTATCCAAAAATCTTTGCTAAGCAGCAGAAAACAGGGGGTAAGGACAAAAATATATACTAATTTTTTACATCCACCAGTGTTACTTTATTTAATGGAAATGTGGTTATCACTATAACAGATTTTGATAGATATTGCATCTTTATGTTCTCTCTTTTTGTGCTTTTCCTTTGACTTCACCTGCAAGTATACAGTTTAGGAACAACTGAATATGACTATGACAATGTTTTGCAAATTCAAATACTTGTTCTTCTATTGGTAACATCAGTTATCGTCATTTGTCTCCATCTAGGTGGTGTACTGCACATGGGCTGTTCTCACTCAGTTATTTATTACTGCTCCCCACTTTTGTGGCAGGAAAGTGCGAGGGACCACGCAGATGGCCTGTTGAGCTTTGCAAAGCCACTAACCGTTTACATTTCTGTCATTGCTGGTCGTGTTGCAAGACACACCAACAACAGGACAAAGCAGAGATTTTTTAATCCAAATGATGGAAGACTTTGCTCGCCTACAAGAGGAAACATACAGGCAGCACAAGATAAAAGTCTAAAAGTAAATCTTCCTTGGATGAAAAATCTTCTGTATAGGAGGAATAACACCAACCCCCAAAATGATGTAAATCCTGGAGAACATTTGCAAAGGCCACATTCCATCACAGGCTCTGCTGAGCGGTACTCTTTGTATGACTGCTTCCATCAAAAAAATCAAACCCAGCCGGAGGAAGTACTCCGCAGCCTCAACCTTGTCCCTGATTTGTGCAGTTTTGTCAATTCCTCAGAGGCAGAACAAAAAAACAGAGAGCTGTCCTTTGACCAATAATTCCTCTGTCAAATGAAGGAGACACATTTCTTGTTTTGTACAAGGTTGGTCTTCCGTTTGCACAACGACAAAATAAATCAGACATTCATCAAAAAAATGGAGACACAAACCGAGGAAAATCTTCAAATTGGGCCAGATGGACGATTGAGGCTTACAAGTACAGGTAATTGTGTGACAAATTGTCATAAAGCACATACGTGTCATGGTGTGCGTCTCTTGTACCATTTATTTCCTCTTTTATTTTGTTGTCCTTGCCTTTCCCCTGTCTTCCTGTCAAGTTTCCCCCCCATTTGTGTCCAGACCTCTCCACATCGTGACAATATGAATGTTCATACTAAATTGTGGTCATGTTGTGTTTTTTTATGTCTTCAGAGGTGTCTGGCCCAGGAGGATATGTGGATGTAGAAATGACAGTACAATACAATCAGCAAATCATGGTCAAAAAGGGCTTCTCAATAGGGCAGTTCCCAATCCAGGAAGAGCACAAGGTAATTAAAAAATTGTAAAAAAAAAATGTTACTTTTGTTTGTGTGTATGTTAAATTTTCAAATCATATCTTACAAGTGTGGACTGCTGGGCATATAGTTCAATCCATTGAGTGGCTGAGCATTTGCCTGCAATTGGCCTGTGACAAATGCAAACCTACAAATGAAAAAATGTCCATAAACCCATAAATTAATTCCTTACAATGAACACAAGATAATTTATCACTGCCAATCCCTGTCTATTTTCTCAGACTTTAAATATGGCTGGCTGTCCAACTTTATTTAATAGTGTGGAGGTGATTCCTGCTAGGATGGGAGGTTAACCCTCAACAACCTGATGCTAATGGAACAGGCCTTGTTACATTTTATACATCAAATGTAATGCATTTGTAATCTTAATGTGTAACAGTGATTTCTGTTTTAATCTTTGCCCCCCTCCCTCAAAAAAGGCAAAAATGCTTGAGCTGTACAAGGCACCAGCAACGGACTATGCCATTGTTCAGGTGGACCGGGCATTAGTTTGTCTGGCTTACATTTTATGTATTTGCCCACGACCTCACCTAGAAGATGACCTCCACACCTCACATCCATGGCTTACAGATTATGTAAGTAGACATGAATGCATGTGATGTATCATTACACCAAAGTTTTAAACAGTGACAGCTTTACTTGTTCCTTAACAGGCAGTGAATGCGAGAGTTCTCCAGCTGGCAAGACCTCTGGAGAATGTAAGATAAGTTTTATTTTAATTTGTCTTTGTTATGGATAGTGCATACAGAAACAGTGTGCAGCTACCCAAAAGCCATTGCTCTTTTTACAGGTGTTTACTTTGCAAACATTTAATTTCACGGCTTGGTGGAGGAACTGGATCAATGGGGAATCAATCGGCTCCCTCCATTTGCATTGCATCCAGGTATGCATGTGTTTTATCTGCATATTCTTTTGCTTTATCTTAGAGAAATAAACTATTGTCACAACTACTAATAACTTTATAATTGTGACAGTGTAACAGAAGAAAACATCATTCCTTAGTGTTGCAGCTGTAATTTGGTGTTAAATATTTTTTATTCAAGGGCTTAAAGCAAGACTCGAAGGTTCTGTGTACACGGGTTGTTGGCCATCAAACTCCAGAGACTGGTAATCATTTAATTCTGTGGGTGAGTACTGCTGTGAAATTGAGAGGGTTTTTTCTTAAGACTGTTCAAGGACATTCCTATCTTTTTTTCTTTTTTTTTTAGAGAGACAGGAGGGAAGACTTGACAAAGGTCCAGGGCCAGATTAAAACCTGACATCACAATTATGCTATGCCTGTAGCCCACTGAGCCACCATGGATAACCATAAAAAGGCTTTTGTAATTTTTATTTGCATGTAGTGGACTGCACGATACTTATACTAGCCATTGTTTTGACAGGTATTTGATGGCTCAAAAACAGAAATCAGAGTCTACGATTCCCTTGAAAAGTACACCTTGATTTCTCCACCTGATATGGACATTCTAAGGTATGTAAACACATTTATTCTAATAAACTGTGACATTATATGAAAAACATAACACAGAATGATACATCTGTTGTTTTTAGCCTTGCATTTCAGAACATATGGAGGCTGAAGGAATGGTCCATTTCATATCCAGACCAGTGGAGACATAAAGATGGCGTCAACTGTGGTGTCTTCGTCTGCACGGTGAGTACTTTTTTGTAAAAAGAAAAAAATATGATTTAGCCTGCTAAATTACATGAAGTATATCCCCTTCTTGGTATTGTCAAATTATTTAAGGAATTGCTATTGTTTTAATAGATAGTATACTTAGGTTATTACATAGATTAACTTCACGTTGTACAAACATTGGTTGTCTTTTATGTCACTCTGTCACTTTAGGCAGCTGAGCTTGATATCAAAGGGACAGACATGACGAATGAACCCTTGAACCAAGTCCAGTTGGGGCAGCCTGCTTGATTCTGTTCCTAAGGTGATGTAAAAATCATAAGACACTAGGCGACTGATAATATAGGCAGGCTATGAAATAAGTTGCAAGTAAATCTTTAACAGTTCAAAGATTCTTTTTTGTAGGGGAAGAAAGTGCATGAGTCTTGCATGGCAGAGGCAATTCATGTCTGCAATTACTACAACAGCACTGGGAAGGGGCAGTCAAGGTACAGTAGTATTAGAGTTGTTAAAACAATGCACCAAGTACCAGATTCACAGCTTGGAGCTGACCATGTGCACTGTCAGCTGCACATAGTTTTTTGGCAATATTAAATCAGGAAGAGAAATATCTTCAAACAACACAAATGCCACCTTGTGGTCTAAAAGTGCAACATCAAACAACATGAAATCATGTGTTTGAATTTAACCTAACCTTGCTTTTAACTGCATAACAGGTTACATGTTAATTGATACCACAAACAGTCAGGAGAAGGTAGACTGTATCTCAGTCAACTATGAGCCAGTAAAAGCAAACAGTATGAAAGTAAACTCAACGGGAAACACCAACTTAATTTAATTTATTAGTGGCCTTGTGATTCCTGCTTTCTGTTATCTATAGTTATGTTTGTGTTTAAGCTACTAATTTTAGGTACTTATTATTACTGATGCATTTCACTGATTTTAAAACAATATAATTAATGGCCTCCTCCCAATTACACTACAGCCCAGAGTAACATGCAGGGCAGCTTCCCATGACTACAACTTCTATAAAAGCCCACTTCTGAAGTCTCACATTCATTCTACAAGACCTTAATCTCTTAATTCTTTGTTCAACTTTAAAAAAAGATCCAGATCTCGTCTTCACTGTAGCTCTCTTCTATTAATCAACTTTAGCCAGTGTCTCATAGTTCTTCTTAAGCCATTTGTAGCTGACATGTTGTTTCCCCTAGCAGGATTAAATTCACTTATTTGAGTCATGAAAGGTCACATGTTAATTGACACCATTAACAGGAATTTATTCATACATTTAACAACTGAAAGGCACTGATCTGTTCCTTCTTCCTCCTCAGTCAGGAAAAAATGGATTGTATTACAGTCAACTGTGAGCCAGTAAAAGCTGTCATCGATGACCTGATCCAGAGGCTGTTTGACCTGCTGCTCTTATCACTAAGAAGGTCCATACAGGGTAAAGACAGACAACTCAGTTGACTTTTTACTTTAATTTCTCTTAGCTTGGTTTTTGGTATATGCACGCCTGTATATAGTGACCAAACACTATATACGTTAAAATAGCATTTTTGAATAAAGTTGTCAAATCTTTTCCCTTTCCTTCTCTGTTCTGTTTAATTTTGAACCAATGACATCCCCTCTGCTCTTACTTTCTCTTTCCCTTTCTGTTTCCTCCTTAATTTGTGCGTGTCTTCTCTCTTGCTTGCAGGCCACACACAGGCAATAGACAGTTTTGTGTCAGAGTCAATGGAGGCCTTGTCCACTCGACCAGAGAGCATGGAGGAGATTGGTGCGGCCAGTGGCAAATACAGCCAGATACTAACCTGCAAACCTGAAGTAAGAAAAACACACTCCTAAACTCTGGCTAGGATCTCTCTTAAATGATAGTTCTAAAGCGTGAGGTTTGTGCAGAATAGGTCTTTTTGGTACCAGTCAAAGAAATGTAACTCATTAGCCACTACTGTCAGTAATACCTACCTACCTTCCTACCGACCTACCTACCTACCTACCTACCTACCTACCTACCTACCTACCTACCTACCTACCGACCGACCGACCGACCGACCGACCGACCGACCGACCTACCGACCTACCTACCGACCTACCTACCTACCTACCTACCTGCTGAGGAGAAGAATCACTTCTTGCGAGAAGTTGCTGGGGCCGGCCTGGACTAGCTGTCCTCACTCAGGGCCAAGTGGGACAAACTGGAGCTTGTCATGGAAAGCCACCAGCTCATGGTCAAAGAACAGATAACATAAACTCACACATATTGGATTATGGTTTAAAAGCTTCTCATGAGGAATTTTCTCCAACTTATTGGAAGACTTATTAAAGTCTTTCAACTCTTCTTTGCTCCTTCCATCTTTCTTTCCCTTTGTCCATTTACCCCAAACACTCTTCGTTTCTTCCTACAAGATTTCAGTGCCTTTACGGCAGGTCTTGACACTGTCAAAGAAATGAAAATTAATCTCCTCTCCTCTGCTTTCCTTTCTTCTCCTCTCAGTGAGGACAGTGGTCAAATCCTATTTGAAAATTAAGACAATTTTTACTGCTCTACTTACAAACGTCAATCATGTAAAAACATCTTTACCTGCATCAGAAAAGATTCATATCTTGGTCTACCATTTTATTTTATTTTCGATCTTATGTGCACAATGCAAAAACCTTTTTTTCTGTAGTGTTTGGGACATTAGAGAATGATCTAACAGATGTGCAGTGTTTCTCAAGTAATTATATCAGTAAGATAATTGTACATCAAAGTTTCATATCAGCACATGCCAACATGTTTCTCTCATCTTAGATTTTGAGTGCCTAACTTTATGTTTCTGGCAGTCCACATAGAATATCTACACCTTTACTGTGTTTCATTGAAGATTTGACTAAATAGGGCACACAGGCGGTGCAGAGGTAAAAGTAATTGCCTGCCACCTCAGAGGAGTAATAGGGGCTTGTATTGGTGTTATCAAATGTATATAATATGGTGAATGAACACAAATCATGTGTGCATGTGTGTTTGCATTTAGGACCTGAACAGTCGTGCTCAGGCAGAAGTGATAATCAGAGAAGCCCTGAGGGAGCTGGACTTGTGGGGAGCTGCAGCAACCTTCAACCTCACTGAGTATGCAGACAGCAGCAGGCGCACACTCACCCTCATCAAGGACTGGAAGGATATAGTCAACCAGGTAGACCCATGGGCAGACAAATTTGGACTGTATTTAAACACAAAACACACACTTGGTCTATAATGTCACAAAGTCAGCATTTGATTTAGGCAGCCACTAACGTAAATTACAGTTAATTGTAACAGGTTATAGTTTTATTAGCCATACTTTGACAATAACATACTTGTACAAACAGATAGCATCTACCCAAATGAAGCAAACGTTTTACTATTTTTTATTATTCCACATCCCCACTAACTTCTCTCAACCCAATTCAGGGATTTCTCAGTCATCTCTACACTGAGACCCTTTGAGTTTTAGAATTGATTTTAAGATGCTGCTTAACACTTCTAGAGCACATCTGTGCCTGATCCCTGAATTTATTTTTACGTTTTCTAAGCCTTAATAAACAGGTCTGAGTGTGTGTGTCACATAATGAGAACATCTCTGAGGTTACAGCACCCACGGAGCAGCTTTTACAGGTTTACTGTAGTTTGCTAGGAAAGAGAGAAAAAGACCTCTGTCAGAATGTAGGTTATATCTGTAGCATGTCAAGTTTTCTGAAAATGATGAGTTTCGGCACCATGCACCTTTTTATAATGTAAAAGGATTTTCACAAAGCTGAGAGTGTTTTTTTAGGGGATTTTAAGTCTAATGGTCACCATGATTCTCATAGAAACTTTTCTTTTCTGAGACGAGGAGCTGGGTTGTCCATTAGAAGTGTGTTTTTCTGTCTAAAAGATAACCTGTCAAGAAAGTTTCCCGGCCTTTGTATTTTCGAAAATATAAACAGCTAATCTTCGCTTTCACAGTTATAATTGACAGTAAAAGATTAGAAGAACTACCGCTAAAATCAGGGTTTATTGCCTGCCTGGCAAAGGATTTACTGTTGACTCAGCTGGCAAAAGCTCATCCTCATATATTTGTGTTAAAGTCAGACTTTGTCCTATGTCATGCCAGTTGTTAAAAACTTGGCAGCATTATACATCATGCAGTCATCCTGCAGCTATTTGAGCAGCGGAAACCCACAAGGATTGTTTTGAGGACAACTTTTTATTTCAAGCTCTTCAAGGTACAAAAAAAAGACCATCATGGAAACAACTATTTGTCACCTACAATGTTAGAGGAGCTAGAGAAGTGCCTGTATATACAGTATTATTCCATCATAGTGTTGTAAAATGTTAGAAAATGGACCTGCTATCAACCTAGAACTTAAACAATCAAATACATTTTTAAATGTTAAATTGAACACACACATACCTGTGACACTGAGGTGTATTTTGTTTTCCATCAAAACGCCGCTTCTGTACTTGATGTGGCACTGATATTCACCGCTATGTGCAACAGTTAAATTGTACATGTACACAGTATTATTGCCTCTATCAAGTCTGGTGTTACTCCATTTCTGCACTTTTTTGTGGTCCATCTCTCTGTCTTCATAGTAGCCATTCACAAACGTGTCGCCCTTTTGGAAGTAGAGAAAAAGTATTTTCCTATCTTTGTGAAAGGGGCAGTGTATGGTCACATTCCCACCAACCTCCCCACTACAGTACTGTTTGACTTCAGGTTTACTGTAGTTTGCTAGGAAAGAGAGAAAAAGACCTCTGTCAGAATGTAGGTTATATCTGTAGCATGTCAAGTTTTCTGAAAATGATGAGTTTCGGCACCATGCACCTTTTTATAATGTAAAAGGATTTTCACGAAGCTGAGAGTGTTTTTTTAGGGGATTTTAAGTCTAATGGTCACCATGATTCTCATAGAAACTTTTCTTTTCTGAGACGAGGAGCTGGGTTGTCCATTAGAAGTGTGTTTTTCTGTCTGAAAGATAACCTGTCAAGAAAGTTTCCCGGCCTTTGTATTTTCGAAAATATAAACAGCTAATCTTCGCTTTCACAGTTATAATTGACAGTAAAAGATTAGAAGAACTACCGCTAAAATCAGGGTTTATTGCCTGCCTGGCAAAGGATTTACTGTTGACTCAGCTGGCAAAAGCTCATCCTCATATATTTGTGTTAAAGTCAGACTTTGTCCTATGTCATGCCAGTTGTTAAAAACTTGGCAGCATTATACATCATGCAGTCATCCTGCAGCTATTTGAGCAGCGGAAACCCACAAGGATTGTTTTGAGGACAACTTTTTATTTCAAGCTCTTCAAGGTACAAAAAAAGACCATCATGGAAACAACTATTTGTCACCTACAATGTTAGAGGAGCTAGAGAAGTGCCTGTATATACAGTATTATTCCATCATAGTGTTGTAAAATGTTAGAAAATGGACCTGCTATCAACCTAGAACTTAAACAGTCAAATACATTTTTAAATGTTAAATTGAACACACACATACCTGTGACACTGAGGTGTATTTTGTTTACCATCAAAACGCCGCTTCTGTACTTGATGTGGCACTGATATTCACCGCTATGTGCAACAGTTAAATTGTACATGTACACAGTATTATTGCCTCTATCAAGTCTGGTGTTACTCCATTTCTGCACTTTTTTGTGGTCCATCTCTCTGTCTTCATAGTAGCCATTCACAAACGTGTCGCCCTTTTGGAAGTAGAGAAAAAGTATTTTCCTATCTTTGTGAAAGGGGCAGTGTATGGTCACATTCCCACCAACCTCCCCACTGAGAGGTAGATCAGCACACTCTGGAAAACAAAAGCAAGCAAGAGTAAAGGGTTAGAGCATGCTGCGAAATCTTTCGTGAAACATACATTTTCTTAAGGGAGAAATGAAAGCAAGCCCTGACTATTTAAAATCAGAAATTTATTATTTAATTTCAGAAAGTTGTATTTCATAGGAAGCCTGTTTCCATCAATGAATATCAGCTTTGAAAATAGTCTGAATGTTTGAGTTGGTAGCATTTTTTTTACAGTATATTATATAAATATACTGCATCATGAATGTTTCGTTGCCTAAGTATGGGTTGAAATATTAACGAACTGTGTAGTATAATATGTAAAACAAAAAGAAAATTAAGAAAGGGACCAAAGTTGTTTGCAGTACTATTGACTCAATGCAAACTTGAGCAGTATACATTGAGTAAGCAGTTCTTAATTTAGGCTGTGAGTGGGTGTGAAGGGGTTTTTATTTTGAGAGCTCCACTTAATGACGTAGCAGACTAATCTCAGTTCCTCTTCCCAATTGACCTTTCTCTTGCATAAAATATATTAGTAGAAGTGTCCCTTTCATGTTTTTATTTTATTTTTATTTTTTATTTTTTTATTGTTTTTTGGGCTTTTATTGCCTTTAATTGATAAGACAGATGAAGACAGACAGGAAGGGGGGCAGAGAGAGGGGATGGCACGCAGCAAAGGGCTGCTGGTTGGATTTGAACCCTGGGCCGCTGCAGCAAGGACTCAGCCTCGGTACATGGGTTGCCAGCTCTACCCACTGAGCTAACCGGGCGCCCATCTTTCATGTTTTACATGATCTAAAGGTCACAATATTGAAAGTTACACTAAACCAAAAGTTTTCACTTTTCATTATCACATTGTGTCTGGCTGTTTTTGGTCACCTCGTGCTTTAGCTCTGTTTTGTCAATGTCCTCCAACTTCTGAGAAAAAGATCTGTGTCTTTTGTTTGCCAGATATTCAGCTTTTTTCACCAGTTAATCAGAATTTATTTGTCTGAGGTTTGGGGTTGGGCAGATGTTGTAGTTTCTTACATTTTTGTAGCCTAGTTGTTTCTGAAAAACAGAAACATGGTTAATGTGATAGTAAATGTACGGGCCTTAAAGGAATAGTTACAGAATAGGTCCGAGAATACACTCACTTGCTTTCCTGCCGAGAGTTAGATGAGAAGTTGGATACCTCAAATAATTATAAGGCTACAGCCAGCAGCCAGTTAGCTTAGCACAAAGACATAAAAGAGGGGGAAACAGCTAGCTCTGGTTTGCAGTCATTATGCTGAGCTAAGTTAACCCGGCTACTGGCTGTAGCTTTGTATATTTATTGTTCAGACAAATGAGCGATTTCAATTTTCTTATTTATCGCTTGGCAAGAAAGCAAGTAAGCATACTTCATAAGATGGTGAACTTTAAAACCTTCTGTAGAGCTGCTGAGTTGAACGATAACTCTTTGTGTGTTCATCTGTGCCAGCAAACTTCTCACATTATATGTTGTTATTTGCTTTATTTGGAGCTTCAACGTTGCTGGTTTGTATGATAATATATTTGGTGTTGCTTTATTCATGTGTGACCAAGCATACTGGTGTTATATCACCAACCAAGATGAAAGTGTTATGTTGATGGACTGATAAGATGGAACTGCTCACCTGTGACGGAAATGTGCCATGTTATTGTCACCAGGACCAGGAGGAGAGAAATCCTGAGGGAAAACCTGAAGGAAAGGGGAAAAAAAATATTTGTTACTGGGGCATTACAGCAACATATAGCCATACAAAAACTGCATCCTCACAACGCAAACAATGGGCCTCATGCAAGAATCATTTGTACGGATCTTAAATGGCTCGTACGAGGAAAACTCATCTATTTTCTCTTTTTTCACAATTTACATACAATTAGTCTGCTCTTATCCAAACACATATTTTTCACTGAAGGACTGTATATTGCATTACTGTAACGCAATTTTCAGTTTTCTATTTAAATAAGACTTCATAATTGTCATTATTATTACATATTATATTACATTATACTAATAAATCATTATCATCCTGTTTGACTGTACAGTTTGAATTATAATATAGTTCTAAATGTATAATATAGCCAAACGATGTCATCATTCATTTAAGTGGCTAATAATGGGGGTTTGGGTTCTCTTCAAATTAAGGCGTATGCAGGTCGCTGTCGAAGGGAACGTCCTCTGTTGCAATGCCTGGCAATTCAATAGTCTAGTCTATATCTGTGATGAAGCCTTATCCCTGACCCCCACTGTTGCAGTTATTGATTGCCTTGCATTTCATATCAAACTACTACTTCTTGATTTCAACAACAGTACGACCCTCAGGTGACACGGCTTTGACAGCACTAATTTTTTTGTTCCCACTCCAGTTCCTTTAATTCCACTGCTGACACTGTTATCTGACTGTTGATCTCTGAGAGCAGGACTCTAATCCCCAAACTCATAAGTTTCTTCTTTTTACTCTTCCAAATAATTTTCATGCATGAACTTCCTCACACATGAGGCAGGCTGTGTAGCCTTATATGATTGGGGCCATAGATTTATGCAAATGTTCAAGTCTCATGAATGCGCGCTCCATGACGCACAGGTGGTATTTATCATTTTTAAACAGGTGATTTACACAGAAATCTGAAGTTAGTTAGAATCTGACGTTGCACAGCATACAAAAAAAGTAAGAGAAAGTTAAGAGAAGAATACGAAAATGTTCTTGCATGAAGCCCAATACTTCTAAATATCCTCTGCCCAGAGATATTGTGAGCGAGTGACTCAGTTCACTGCCTCTGGAACCGCACATGTTCATATTGACTGATCAAATTTGACTGAACTTGCCATCATTAGTTGTAAAGCTGAAACTAAACTATGCCCCCTCTCTTTTGCAAACACGCCCACACAGTAGGTTAAATAAATTTAACTTGGACAAAAAAGCTCTCAGTATCCTTGGTCTTTTGGACAATTTGTGTCCATGTTGCTGTTATACATTTATAGCACCGGAGCTTCAGTTGATGAACCTTGACACAGGAAGCAACAGCCCATGGAGTGATGCATTAACATATTGTGTAATTGTTAGGTTTACAGATTTACATTTGGATACAACTACTGGATTACTTAAGTAGTAGTACATTCTCAGCAGAAACTAGTTATTTGTGCAGTGATGAAACCTGTTAGCTCAGTATTTTTAGGTGTTTCTTGCCAACCATTTGTGGTCAACTTGTGAGTTAAGAGGATGAGATCAGAAAGTAATCAGTGACTTAACCATAACACTGACTGTTCTATGGAAAGGCACCCCACCCAAATCCAATAGTGGTGATGACAGTCTCTAACTCTGTAAATGTGGTAGATGGTAAAAGTGAAGGCAACTTTCAGATTGTTTGTGAGTCATAACATTGTAATTAAATAATAATAAAAAAATTAATAAATACATTTTAAGACATTTTAGATTCATAATGCTGTAATATGAAATGGGAGGGGTACTTACAGGAAATGCTGTGGGTTGTAAAGTGATGCCTGTTGAAAAGACAAACAAGTTAATCACTAGTGTTAGGATTATCTTTTCATTTTAAATTTTAAATCAGTGCACAGTCAGGCAGGAATAGTGTTACACTCATGCAACAATAAAAAATGCCCTTTGATGCTGAAAATTCATCTTTGTGTATGACAGTAGGCCAGGGGGTCATTTGCACAAGATTAGCAGATGACTGATTCATTTTCATAAATCGTTTTTTACTTTTAGATTGACATCCCTTGAAAATAATTATTGAAAATGGTTTTGTCCCCACAGGATACAGTAAGCACTTTCTTCAATCTATACAAAAACAATAAACAGTCTTATCTGAAATATCTGACTGGCTTTTCCCAGTCACTGTTGAGAGGGAAAAGGCGCTCTTCCTGACAGGACTTTGGTTTCGAGAAGCGCACACACACACACAGGCTACAGTCAATGTGTCGATACTGATTTCTTACAGCAAACTATATTAATGCATGAGAGGCTGTCTTCCTTTCTGACATTAACATGACAGGACATGTTCACAACAGTTAAATTCATTGTTTTCAAGAGAGCTTTACCTTCATCATCCTCTTTGTGTGTGAGACAGAGCCAGAGACGCCGCAACGGGGCAGGCAACACAGGCAATTGCCTAGGGCCCCGAGCTGAAGGGGCCCCCGAGGGACGGCTGACGTTAATGACAAAATAATGGAACTGCTTTAAACGCTGCAACGACAACGCATCTGAAATGCCCCGCACAGGGCCCTTTCCGAGTTGTCACTGGCTAGTTGCTAGTAGGGGCCCCCGACAGACGGCTGATATCACTCCATATCAGCGACACAACTTGAAACCCCCGTAGACACTGCAATGACACGTCGGGAATCTCCCTAATGGGGCCCCCTTACTAGCCGGCATCGACGTGCAAACACACAGATGAAAAAAATTAAGTGAACATATCTCTCTGGGCACACAAAGAGAGGATGAAAAGAAAAAACGTGACAGTGGTAAGTGGGAATGTGTAAGCTATGTGTGTTACATTATAAAAAAGTAGTGCTGCCAGCCAGACTGCCACTTTATCCCAAAGTCCCAGTCATCCACCAAGCAACAAAAAAAGTTTACTGCACATTAAAGTCCGTGTAAAGTGAATTCAGCCATTTTCTTCTAAACACATTCATAGCCACACAATAAGTTAGTCCTTTGCTGCCAATGCCAATGATATTTTCTCCCAGAATAAAGCATTTGTTGTCAAATGTTAAAACTGATACCAGCATCAATTCTGCTGTCAGTTTAGTCTGTCTAAACTGGTGCTAATTTCTATTTGGAATTATGTTTTTTAAATGTGAGCTGCTGGACAACTGAATTTCCCTTCGGCGATAAATAAAGTATATCCAATCCTATATAGCCAGACATTTTCTGCTATAGCCTAAATGTTACATTAAATAAAATGTTAACACGAAGCATTAAAGTTGTTACTGCAAATGGATGTTTATTAATTATTCCATACAGATCTCAAATGTTGTGTTTGTGTAGCATGCACAGTTCTTTACTTTACGCAAGCCAACCAAATACATTGTGCTCTTTTTCTTCCTCAAGGTGCTTTGTTGAAGTTTTTTGGCCCACAACAACAACAATAGCAGCAGCAGCAACATGGCATGCCCTGTTGACTAAAAAGCACCAGTGGAAAGTGGCTTAAAGGGACACTTCACCCATTTGCATTAAGCTTTGTATAATTAGAACCCCAGTCATATTTTTGAATGGTCGTGCATCATTCCCTCACTTTCCCTGAGAGGGGAGAAATACAGATTTCAGTGTTGCACTTCCTGCTTCCAATGATGTAAAAATCGTCATTTTGCGTCATTGGAAGCAGGAAGTCTCATATCTCTGTAGAGGGGGTGAGACTACAAACACTACTTCCTCTTTTTTATTTCCACTCACGCTACAGACCTATTACAGATCAGTGGGTGGGACTTCACTTGCAGAAACTAAAAAATATAACCGCCATCTTGTTTGGAAGCTAAGCAGAGGCGCTGTCCAGCCAGACGTTACGACTATGGTAATCAATGTAATATGGAAGAAATTTCGAAAGTATGATGGTCGAATCAGATGTTTGTGGCTACCTTTATGAGCCGCAATATAGCGAAGAGCAGCTTAGGCTGAACAGGAGGCGGCTGAGGCTGCTGCAGCCGAGGCAGAGGATCTGCCTGTCGCGGACGAGGAGCCCGGACTGGCTCGAGCTGGGGCGGACTGCTGGTGCCTGTGCTCTCGCTGTGCGCCTACGGACACACGGACGTCTGACTGTAAAGTGAGTGTTTCTATTTTCTATCTTATAACAACGTGGCATGTATGTACACAATTTGTTCAAGTATTATCACAAAGTTATTCCCGGTTAATACGTAACGTCAGCCAACTGAACTAACATTAGCATCTTTACTGCACAAACAGCTTGCAGTTGCATTGCTAACTACTGTGGCACGCTACACACAAAGACCATGCATCTCTAACTGTGTGCTCAATGTCTTGTAGACAATATCGCCTAACAGCCTTTCTGGAATGGGTCCTGCAAGGCGAGAGATTGGGTCGAGGCCATCGTGTCGTTTTACCCGCTGATGTGGTGCAGGCAATCCGACAGAAATATCCAGCTCCAGATGGCCAGTACTGCGGGCACCAAGGAGTTGAGGACGCTCAGGAGGAACTATAACTGTCATTGTTAACATATTTATTTTTGTTGTTGTTGATATATTTCTGTAAATAAATGGTTTACATTCACGTTGTTGTAGTCCTTGATAGTGTTAGTGGGAGCGGCTTGCGGAGCTGTGCATTGTGGGAGTCACTTTCTGTCTTTTCTCGGTCAAATAGGCACCAAATTCAAAATGTATGTTACATTTCGACTACATATATAACCCACTTTCAATAAATATTAATGTTTCCACGGGTGAAATGCTCCTTTAAGGTTAACCACATTACATAAATATGCTGATATTAATTGTGAATGCCATTTAGTCACTTGAAAATTCAAACCTATTTTATAGTTATTTTGAAACATTTTTTTCAACTTAGCCTCAACCTTCTGAATTTTAAATTTTTTTAAAGGGCACAACATGATTTACTGAAGCTTAGGTTGTAAAACTACAACTACAAACACAAAAATACATGTTATACAACTACAATGAAACATGTGCAACAATTTCTTCTTCACAGGTTTCCAAATGAGGTTACGGTTAGCCCATGTAACTTATACAGACCAACAAACAAACAAACATTTGCTAGAAAAGTGTGTTAATGTAGAAAGCAGCCTATGCTAGCAATTAGCTTGTATGATTAGCTCAGCAGCTAGTTAGCTCGTCTCATAAGCGGACGACAACAAACCTTTAAACAGCATTCTTGGAGCGCATTACTAAAGAGGTAAAGAGAGAAGGACAGAGAAAGACATTTGCCAGTCCATTGGCACGATGTACGAGACTGCAAGACTGACAATGTTATGCTTTTACATTGCAACCAAGTCAAAGGAACTTAAAGATGATGCCAGCGAGACATCTGAAATGATCCTTGTCTCTGCATACAGTGGCAATGAAAGCAAAGCAGCAGAACTACATGTTTGATGAAGTCCAGACTGCTTTAGAAATATCTGTTGACTCTGGAATAAGCTTTGGTTCTGTTAGGGATTAGTCATTTCAATATATTTTAATACACATAGATGTGAAAGCCTGCATTTTATAAAGCTATTACACACCAAGATAAAAAAACACAGACACATATTCTCATCTCTGCTTGTGAGCTACAATAGCTACAAACACCTGAGCGTGGGAGGAAGAACAGGTTATCTCCAAGGTTGGAACACCCAGTTCTGACCGTTGCTCTAGTTTCATAAAGGATATTATAAGGGAGGGGTAGCAGGGCGGAATTACTAATTTTTGTTTTAGGGCGCTGTCTCCTCAGAATTGTTTGGGTCGTGTGCCAAGAGGCTGGGACCAGTCAGTGCACCAACAAGGAAGCACCAAGTCTAAACCACGGTTGTTTCCCATCATATAGTCCACCAATCACATTGCTTACTATAATCAAATATAACGTGACATGATTACTGCTTTCTCTGATGCAGAGATTTTGAACACAGCACTGAATGTGAGATGCATACTTCCACACAACAAAGAAGAAGCAGGCAGTGGATCTGGGCTACTGAGAGATGTTCTTAGCTGCTTCTGGCCAGAATGGAGATGCACTCTCGATACAACAATTAAAGTACCCTTCATTCGCCATGATTTTCCTGCTCAAAGCCAAGTACCGGAGGTTTTGATGCAAGCAATGAGTGATTTCTTAGCTGTTGACTCTGATGTTCTCTATCGTATCGAGACTATCTCTCCACTCATTACATATTCCATATGTATGGAGAATCAACCTACTAGATCGTGCAACGTGGATACTCTTTAAGACACACTGGTTGTACCGGCCACGCCTTTGATTGGTGTTGTATAAAACACCTGTGCTGGCATGGGACTAGTGCTTTTTTGATCTCCACAGGTCTACTTCTCTGAGGTAAACAAACCCTTGTTGCCAGGGCGTAATCACGCGAGACTCACGGTTGATCTCACGAGTTTTGTAACAGGATTAGGAGTAAATGAATAAATAATATTAATAAAGGGGCAGGTACGTATAGTTTGCAGGTAAGTATAAAAAAAAAGGGGAAAAAAAGAGCCGTTGACTGATATTGCCTGCAGACATGGCCAGTGTATCCCCACGTGTGTGTGGCCTGTAACATCACCCTGCCTATGCAGGATGGGCACGACAAGTGCATAGCATGTCTGGGTTCCAAGTATGCCGAGGCTGCCAGAGAAGACCCTACAGCATGCATGAATTGCTTTATAATGCCCCAGTGCACAAGGGAGGCTCATGCCCACTTTTTGTGGGAAAACGGCCCCACTCTCATTCCAAAGATGACAGCTGGAAAGCGTCAGCGAGGATGCAATCTCCTTGTTTCCCTCCGAGGATGAGAGCATGCTGACAGTAGGGCAAGAAAGCCAAGGACGGGACCAGCCCAGGAAGAGCGACCTGCGGTCTCCCAGCTACAGGAGGTGTTGAGTCGAGCAGCAGTGGCCTTAGAGATCACGTTGCCAGAGGACCCACACCTCGCTTCCTCCCGCTTCGAGGAGAAGGATGCACCACGACGGCCTCCACCCCGCTCCTGCTGGTGTGCCAAGCCCCAGCTACCCAGGCCCCCATTCAGGTTGAGCAGAAGCCTGGGCAGCACTAGGGGCCAACCCATGGGTCGTGTCTACCATGACCCAGGGGTACCGGCTACAATTTTTACGCAAACCCCCACTGTCAATACCTGGGGCTCAGCCCGCAGTACGAGGAGAGCGGCACAGGCAGTCCAGAGAAAGAGGTAGCAACGCACCTTTCCAAGGGCGCCATCAGGGAAGTGGGGAAGGCCGACCATCAGGCAGGGTTTCTCTCACACTATTTTTTGATTCCCAAGAGGGATGGAAGCCTTCGGCCAGTCTTGGACTTAAGAGGCCTGAACCAGTATCTGCGACCCCTCTGATTTTCAAATACCAATTTGGAGAGGGCATTGGTGCTTCCTTCGGTTCTGATCTGGGGACAGAACATACAAGTTCATGGTCCTCCCTTTCCGAATCTCTCTGGTACCTCGCACATTCACAAGGTGCATGGACGCAGTCCTCAGACCCCTTTGTCAGCGAGGCCTCGGGGTCCTCAATTATTTGGACG